TCCCTGATGCTTTTGCTAAGCTTGTTCTAAATAGGTGCTTTAGACCACTGAGCCATCTCTCCAGCCCCGAGAAATAATCTTTAGAAAATATAAAATGTGTTCTTTTTGTATTCCTTTCTTTTTGATTGTTTTCTTTTGCTTGAATGTTATGTTTCAAAATTATCATAGGATTAATAATCTTTAGGAACTCACTCAATATATCCATATTAAAACACAACTTTACATACAGCAGAAAGAGCACTCTTATAATATCAAATTGTACACTTGATCACGGGTTTGTAGGTGGTATTTCAGACTACATTCTTCTACTGCTTATTCTACATTTCTTTTTTCTTTACATTGTATCCCAAAAGATCTTCGTTCTCTTCCTTTTCGGGTTGTTAATGCCTTCACTCCTGAGGGCTCTTGCATTTCAATATTAGGCTATTTAGCTTGTCATCTACTACAATAATAGGGCATGACAATTCTAAGCGGTACACAAAGGTTCTCCTCCCCACCATGGTTAGACTTCCTTTACTCCACTATGGAGTATTAAACCAATTTCCTCGGGACAGTTTGGGTCAATCATCCATGACAGCACTGTAATTCCTGTTTTAGCTTGCTTACTCAGACATGAGGAGACCAAATAAACAGGTGGAAATTTTAGCTTCCTCTCAATTGTATCATTGTTGAGCTTCTTGGCACAAACCTTCCTAGCTTTGGTACTGATACTTCAAATACAGCAGGATATAAAATTTTGGAAGAGGAGAAACAAATATATTTTGTGGATCAACAAAGGAAATGTTGAGTTGTATTCTTTAAAATCCCATCTCTTGGGCTGGTGAGATGGCTCAGTGGTCTAAAGCACCTACTTAGAACAAGCTTAGCAAAGCAAAGGGACCCTGGTTCAATCCCCCAGCACCACATGCCAGCCAGCCCCGCCCCCTGGTGGGCTGAGCTGGACACACACACACACACACACACACACACACACACACACAAATAAAATAAATTAAAAAAAATTAAAAAAAATAAATAAAATCCCATCTCTTGATTTTTAAACACCTATACATGAGCTATGTGAGACAAAACACCATAAACACAGCATTACTTAAAAGCATATATAGCCTGTTGAAATACCTCACCCCAGGGGATCAACATAAGGTCACTTAGATGACACTGTAACTATGTCTTTGAGTGAAATTTCCACAATCGTATCATTCCAAATGCTTCTGGATGATGAGTTTAATGGACAGTCTAGTGAATTCCATGAGCATAAGCCAATTGCCTCAGTTCTTTGAAAAGAAAAACGTGTTCCCCCATAAGAAACTGTACAGTGTAAAAATGTATGATGGTGGATTATTCATTCTGTAAGGCTGATATTTGTAGAATTTGTAGAATTAAAGATGCAGCAAAGGCAATTTCCTAACATATTTATGTCGTGAGAACAAAGCACAACATCTTTTCTTATGGAAGTGGTCCAAAATAATCAACCTGCTGTCACATTGCAGCCTGATCACCTAAGGGAATAGTGTCATTTTGGGGACTTATTGTTTGCCTCTCTAGCTGGCATGTTGCCCTCTTAGATGTGGCTAAACCTAGATCCACCTTGGAGAGTGGGTGTTCATGTTGCTGAGCACATGTATATCCTCCAGCACTGCCCACACAGCTACTTTGTTCATTTGTCCACTGTGCAATATTAGTAGTGTATGAGGAAGGAGTTTCGCTAATATCTGCAAAAGAAGTTATTTTATGTATTTAATTTCCTATTCTGTTGAGGTCACATATTGGTGAGTGTTCATATGTGAAATAAAAAGGTTATATCCTTTGCCACATGGAGAGATTTATCCACACGTTATCCACAAAATCCGTGTGAATCAATTACTGTTCGTGCTCTTTCCATGATCCTTACTATCCAAACAGACTGTTGGCTATGGCCCGTTTCTCAGTATGTAGTCACTCCTCTGGCATTTTTTCTCTAAGGGAAAAGTGCTACCAGGTGCACTGCCAGAAGTTGTTCCCACTATGACTATTTATGTTTAGCACTGAAATTTGGTGATGTACTACATTGTGTGTGTAAGGCTAGAGCTGTCCACTTGTGTGTGATTCCTTCATAGTATGAAATGTCATCGATAAATGATGCCCATTTCTGCTCTTCCTCTGACAAATGATTATATGCTACTGCCAATATTGCCTCAGGCTCATGCTATGAAACAGTAGGTAGTAAAAAAGGTAAACAGTAGGTAATACACCAGGTGAACAGTAGGGAATATAAGAGTTACCAGAGCAAGTTCGTCAAGTGATTTACTCATAGGAACTGGAACCACCCCATCTCTACCATGAATGCACCACTTCCATTTAATGATGGATGCTTGTTGAGCACGTGCAAACTTATGAATTGATGCATCCTATCATGTATAGATCATGATAGGCAATGTAGGTGTCATGGTGATCTGGTTATATAAATTGAAGTGTTAAGTTTCCACTAATGCCCCATATCAAAAGAGGTGTTTCTGAAAAAGAGTAGGTATCTGCAGATGATGCCAGAGAATTGCTCAAAAATCTTGAACTCTGCTGCAATTCAGCTATGGGTGCCTATGAGAGAATCAAAGAAACATCTTGATCTACTACTGATGCTTAATATACAATTGGATCATCAAAATCCTAAGTTCTCAGGGGAGGAGCAGCCCGATGGGCCACCTGTACCTTGCAAGGAGTATCTCTTCATGCTCCACTACACTGGATTCCTGGAAGCTTCACTGAGGTAGTAAGACCTTGAATTTTGGTGAGATTAATTGCCAATTCTGTAGTTTCAAATAATGTAATACTAAGGTGTAGGAGGCTACCAATCCCTGATCACTAGGCCCAATCCACATAACATCATCAATGCAATGGAACAGTGTCAAAATTTGAGGTAGCAAAGCAATCAAGGTTATTATGACCAAAGTTGTAATACAGGACAGTGGAGTACACAGATGCTTGTGGTAATATAATGAAGATATATTGCCGTCCTTCCCCAAAAAATAAGAAACTGTTTCTGATGGTTCTTAAGGTAGGTATGAATAAGAACGCATCTGCCAAATCAAGAGTTATATAACAACTACAAGGATATATGTTAAATCCACCCAGCAAGAAAACCACATCAGGTAGAGCACATTCAATTGGGGCATGAGCCGGTCCAGTATATGGGAATTTACTGTCCTTCTCCAAGCAACGTCAGTGTTCTACACAGGCCAAAAAAGGGAAAATTAATTGGAGTTGTGTTGGTGACCAACACCTCACCATTTTCAAATCCTTGATATTGGCAGTATACTGTGCAATTCTTCCATGAATGTGGTACTGCATTTCGTTCACTATTTTATCACTTAAGGCCAAAGCTCAAAGTTTTCATTTGGGCATGCCAATCGTAATAACCCCCACATGAATTATTAGGGAGCCAATGCGAAGATTTTGCCAATGGCTGAGTGCATCTCTTCAATTTATACATTCCAGAGCAGGTGAAATATCTACAGGATGGAGTCCAACGACTGCTGGACCCAATGGGGGTCAGAAGAACTCATTGATTCCTGGGCACCAAAGTCCCACACATTTTGCTGATGGGGCAATATGGTATTTTGGATTTTATCGAATCAGTGTGAGTTCAGAACCAATGTCCAATTATCCCCAAAATGTGTGATCATTCCATTTTCTTCATTGTTCAATCATTAGAGCAAATTGCATTTGGTTACTGTGGGGAAGTATGTAAAAAAATTTTGTATACATTCTATAGATATTAGGATACTTTTCCATAAAGACTTTCCTCTGCTTCATTCAACAAACCCCGGATGTATGAACTGGCTCAAGCGTGGGAACTCATTGAGTCACTGGGATTGACTAGGACTGCGAATTTAAGTAGGTCTCTTTCTTTGACTTTCAAAACGTTCATTTATAAAAATCTAGCAAAATATTGTAGGATTCTTATGTATTTCTCTTTAAGGAATACCATTTCTAAGCAGCAAAATCCGTGGATCTCTATGTGTCACATTATTCTGTTCATTGAATCAAT